TTTTTAAATAGGTTTCTTCAAAGGATTGATGGTAAGGTAACTGCGGAACCGTAGCTCTTAGATCTTTATAATATATCATAAGGACCTAATGAAGAGCTATGGTTCCGCACCTAATAGTAAGATTGGTTGATTTATTTCATTTTATATATTTTCATGGATATTGTTGTATATATATTTATTTTTTATTTAGGTTTCTTCAAAGAATTGATGGTAAGGTAGCTGCGGAACAGTAGCTCTTAGGTCTTTATAATATATCATAAGGACCTAATTAAGAGCTATTGTTCCGCACCTAATAGTAAGATTAGTTGATTTATTTCATTTTATATATTTTCATGTATATTGTTGTATATATATTTATTTTTTATTTAGGTGTCTTCAAAGAATTGATGGTAAGGTAGCTGTGGAACTGTAGCTCTTAAGTCTTTATAATATATCATAAGGACCTAATTAAGAGCTATGGTTCCGCACCTAATAGTAAGATTGGTTGATTTATTTCATTTTATATATTTTCATGTGTATATGGTTGTATATATATTTATTTTTTATATAAGTCTCTTCAAAGAATTGATTGTAAGGTAGCTGCGGAGCCGTAGCTCTTAAGTCTTTATAATATATCATAAGGACCTAATTAAGAGCTATGGTTCCGCACCTAATAGTAAGATTGGTTGATTAATTTCATTTTATATGTTTTCATGGATATTGTTGTATATATATTTATTTTTTATATAGGTTTCTTCAAAGAATTGATGGTAAGGTAGCTGCGGAACCGTAGCTCTTAAGTCTTTATAATATATCATAAGGACCTAATTAAGAGATATGGTTCCTCACCTAATAGTAAGATTGGTTGATTTATTTCATTTTATATATTTTCATGTGTATATGGTTGTATATATATTTATTTTTTATATAGGTTTCTTCAAAGGATTGATGGTAAGGTAGCTGTGGAACCGTAGCTCTTGAGTCTTTATAATATATCATAAGGACCTAATTAAGAGCTATGGTTCCGCACCTAATAGTAAGATTAGTTGATTTATTTCATTTTATATATTTTCATGTATATTGTTGTATATATATTTATTTTTTATATAGGTTTCTTCATAGAATTGATGGTAAGTTAGCTGTGGAACCGTAGCTCTTAGGTCTTTATAATATATCATAAGGACCTAATGAAGAGCTATGGTTCCGCACCTAATAGTAAGATTGGTTGATTTATTTCATTTTATATATTTTCATGGATATTGTTGTATATATATTTATTTTTTATATAGGTTTCTTCAAAAAATTGTCGGTAAGGTAACTGCAGAACCATAGCGCTTTGGTCTTTTTTAATATATCATAAGGACCTAATTAAGAGCTATGGATCCGCACCTAATAGTAAGATTGGTTGATTTATTTCATTTTATATACATGTATTTTCATGTGTATATGGTTGTATATAAATTTATTTTTTATATACTGGTAGGTTTCTTCAAAGAATTGATGGTAAGGTAGCTGTGGAACCGTAGCTCTTAAGTCTTTATAATATATCATAAGGACCTAATTAAGAGCTATGGTTCCGCACCTAATAGTAAGATTGGTTGATTTATTTCATTTTATACATTTTCATGTATATTGTTTTATATATATATTTATTTTTTATATAGGTCTCTTCAAAGAATTGATGGTAAGGTAGCTGCTGAGCCGTAGTTCTTTGGTCTTAATAATATATCATAAGGACCTAATTAAGAGATACGGGTCCGCACCTATTAGTGAGATTGGTTGATTTATTTCATTTTATATATTTTCATGTATATTGTTGTATATATATTTATTTTTTATATAGGTTTCTTCAAAAGAATTGATGGTAAGGTAGCTGCGGAACCGTAGCTCTTAGGTCTTTATAATATATCATAAGGACCTAATTAAGAGCTATGGATCTATACCTAATATTAAGATTGGTTGATTTATTTCATTTTATATATTTTCATGTATATTGTTGTATATATATTTATTTTTTATATAGGTTTCTTCAAAGAATTGATGGTAAGGTAGCTGGGGAACCGTAGCTCTTAGGTCTTTATAATATATCATAAGGACCTAATTAAGAGCTATGGATCTATACCTAATATTAAGATTGGTTGATTTATTTCATTTTATATATTTTCATGTGTATATGGTTGTATATATATTTATTTTTTATATAGCTTTCTTCTAAGAATTGATGGTAAGGTAGCTGCAGAACCGTAGCTCTTAGGTCTTTATAATATATCATAAGGACCTAATTTAGAGCTACGGTTCAGCACCTAATAGTAAGATTAGTTGATTTATTTCATTTTATATATTTTCATGTAAATTGTTGTATATATATTTATTTTTTATATAGGTTTCTTTAAAGAATTGATGGTAAGGTAGCTGCGAAACAATAGCTCTTAGGTCATTATAATATATCATAAGGACCTAATTGAGAGCTATGGTTCTGCACCTAATAGTAAGATTGGTTGATTTATTTCATTTTGTATATTTTCATGTATATTGTTGTAAATATATATATTTATATTGTTGTAAATATATTTATTTTTCATATAGGTTTCCTCAAAGAATTGATGGTGAGGTAGCTGCGGAACCGTAGCTCTTAGGTCCTTGTGATATTTTTTGACTATTTGAGGACCATCTATGTTCAATAAATATCATAAGGACCAAAGAGCTATGGTTCCACAGCTATAAATAGTATGGTTGGTTGATCTATTTCATTTTATATTTTCATGTATATTGTTGTATATATATTTATTTTTTAAATAGGTTTCTTCAAAGAATTGATGGTAAGGTAACTGCGGAACCGTAGCTCTTAGGTCTTTATAATATATCATAAGGACCTAATTAAGAGCTACGATTCCGCACCTAATAGTAAGATTGGTTGATTTATTTCATTTTATATATTTTCATGTATATTGTTGTATATATATTTATTTTTGATATAGGTTTCTTCAAAGAATTGATGGTAAGGTAGCTGCGGAACCATAGCTCTTAGGTCTTTATAATATATCATAAGATCATAAGGACCTAATTAAGAGCTATGGTTCTGCACCTAATAGTAAGATTGGTAGATTTATTTCATTTTATTTATTTTCATGTATATTGTTGTATATTTATTTATTTTTATATAGGTTTCTTCAAAGAATTGATGGTAAGGTAGCTGCGGAACCTTAGGTCTTTATAATATATCATAAGGACTTAATTAAGAGCTATGGTTCCGCACCTAAAAGTAAGATTAGTAGATTTATTTCATTTTATTTATTTTCATGTATATTGTTGTATATTTATTTATTTTTTATATAGGTTTCTTTAAAGAATTGATGGTAAGGTAGCAGCTGAAAAGTAGCTCTTAGGTCTTTATAATATATCATAAGGACCTAATTAAGAGCTATGGTTCTGCACCTAATAGTTAGATTGGTTGATTTATTTCATTTTATATATTTTCATGTATATATGGTTGTATATATATTTATTTTTTATATAGGTTTTTTCATAGGATTGATTGTAAGGAAGCTGCGGAACCGTAGCTCTTAGGTCTTTATAATATATCATAAGGACCTAATTAACAGCTAAGGTTCCGCACTTAATAGTAAGATTGGTTGATTTATTTCATTTTTTATATTTTCATGTGTATATGGTTGTATATATATTTATTTTTTAAATAGGTTTCTTCAAAGAATTGATGGTAAGGTAACTGCGGAACCATAGCTCTTAGGTCTTTATAATATATCATAAGGACCTAATTAAGAGCTATGGTTCCGCACCTAATAGTAAGATTGGTTGATTATTTTCATTTTATATATTTTCATGGATATTGTTGTATATATATTTATTTTTTATATAGGTTTCTTCAAAGAATTGATGGTAAGGTAGCTGTGGAACCGTAGCTCTTAAGTCTTTATAATATATCATAAGGACCTAATTAAGAGCTATGGTTCCGCACCTAATAGTAAGATTGGTTGATTTATTTCATTTTATATATTTTCATGTGTATATGGTTGTATATATATTTATTTTTTATATAGGTTTCTTCAAAGAATTGATGGTAAGGTAGCTGCGGAACCGTAGCTCTTAGGTCTTTATAATATATCATAAGGACCTAATTAAGAGCTATGGTTCCGCACCTAATAGTAAGATTAGTTGATTTATTTCATTTTATATATTTTCATGTATATTGTTGTATATATATTTATTTTTTATATAGGTTTCTTCAAAGAATTGATGGTAAGGTAGCTGTGGAACTGTAGCTCTTAAGTCTTTATAATATATCATAAGGACCTAATCAAGAGCTATGGTTCCGCACCTAATAGTAAGATTGGTTGATTTATTTCATTTTATATATTTTGATGGATATTGTTGTATATATATTTATTTTTTATTTAGGTTTCTTTAAAGAATTGATGGTAAGGTAGCTGCGGAACAGTAGCTCTTGAATCTTTATAATATATCATAAGGACCTAATTAAGAGCTATGGTTCCGCACCTAATAGTAAGATTGGTTGATTTATTTCATTTTTTATATTTTCATGTGTATGTGGTTGTATATATATTTATTTTTTATATAGGTTTCTTCAAAGAATTGATGGTAAGGTTACTGCGGAACCGTAGCTCTTAAGTCTTTATAATATATCATAAGGACCTAATCAAGAGCTATGGTTCCGCACCTAATAGTAAGATTGGTTGATTTATTTCATTTTATATATTTTCATGGATATTGTTGTATATATATTTATTTTCTTTTTAGGTTTCTTTAAAGAATTGATGGTAAGGTTACTGCAGAACAGTAGCTATTGAGTCTTTATAAAATATCATAAGGACCTAATTAAGAGCTATGGTTCCGCACCTAATAGTAAGATTGGTTGATTTATTTCATTTTTTATATTTTCATGTGTATATGGTTGTATATATATTTATTTTTTAAATAGGTTTCTTCAAAGAATTGATGGTAAGGTAACTGCGGAACCGTAGCTCTTAGGTCTTTATAATATATCATAAGGACCTAATCAAGAGCTATGGTTCCGCACCTAATAGTAAGATTGGTTGATTTATTTCATTTTATATATTTTCATGGATATTGTTGTATATATATTTATTTTTTATTTAGGTTTCTTCAAAGAATTGATGGTAAGGTAGCTGCGGAACAGTAGCTCTTAGGTCTTTATAATATATCATAAGGACCTAATTAAGAGCTATGGTTCCGCACCTAATAGTAAGATTGGTTGATTTATTTCATTTTATACATTTTCATGTGTATATGGTCGTATATATATTTATTTTTTATATAGGTCTCTTCAAAGAATTGATGGTAAGGTAGCTGCGGAGCTGTATCTCTTAAGTCTTTATAATATATCATAAGGACCTAATTAAGAGCTATGGTTCCGCACCTAATAGTAAGATTGGTTGATTATTTTCATTTTATATATTTTGATGGATATTGTTGTATATATATTTATTTTTTATATAGGTTTCCTCAAAGAATTGATGGTAAGGTAGCTGCGGAACCGTAGCTCTTAGGTCTTTATAATATATCATAAGGACCTAATTAAGAGCTATGGTTCCGCACCTAATAGTAAGATTAGTTGATTTATTTCATTTTATATATTTTCATGTATATTGTTGTATATATATTTATTTTTTATATAGGTTTCTTCAAAGAATTGATGGTAAGGTAGCTGTGGAACTGTAGCTCTTAAGTCTTTATAATATATCATAAGGACCTAATCAAGAGCTATGGTTCCGCACCTAATAGTAAGATTGGTTGATTTATTTCATTTTATATATTTTGATGGATATTGTTGTATATATATTTATTTTTTATTTAGGTTTCTTTAAAGAATTGATGGTAAGGTAGCTGCGGAACAGTAGCTCTTGAATCTTTATAATATATCATAAGGACCTAATTAAGAGCTATGGTTCCGCACCTAATAGTAAGATTGGTTGATTTATTTCATTTTATATATTTTGATGGATATTGTTGTATATATATTTATTTTTAATTTAGGTTTCTTTAAAGAATTGATGGTAAGGTAGCTGCGGAACAGTAGCTCTTGAATCTTTATAATATATCATAAGGACCTAATTAAGAGCTATGGTTCCGCACCTAATAGTAAGATTGGTTGATTTATTTCATTTTTTATATTTTCATGTGTATGTGGTTGTATATATATTTATTTTTTATATAGGTTTCTTCAAAGAATTGATGGTAAGGTTACTGCGGAACCGTAGCTCTTAAGTCTTTATAATATATCATAAGGACCTAATCAAGAGCTATGGTTCCGCACCTAATAGTAAGATTGGTTGATTTATTTCATTTTATATATTTTCATGGATATTGTTGTATATATATTTATTTTCTTTTTAGGTTTCTTTAAAGAATTGATGGTAAGGTTACTGCAGAACAGTAGCTATTGAGTCTTTATAAAATATCATAAGGACCTAATTAAGAGCTATGGTTCCGCACCTAATAGTAAGATTGGTTGATTTATTTCATTTTTTATATTTTCATGTGTATATGGTTGTATATATATTTATTTTTTAAATAGGTTTCTTCAAAGAATTGATGGTAAGGTAACTGCGGAACCGTAGCTCTTAGGTCTTTATAATATATCATAAGGACCTAATCAAGAGCTATGGTTCCGCACCTAATAGTAAGATTGGTTGATTTATTTCATTTTATATATTTTCATGGATATTGTTGTATATATATTTATTTTTTATTTAGGTTTCTTCAAAGAATTGATGGTAAGGTAGCTGCGGAACAGTAGCTCTTAGGTCTTTATAATATATCATAAGGACCTAATTAAGAGCTATGGTTCCGCACCTAATAGTAAGATTGGTTGATTTATTTCATTTTATACATTTTCATGTGTATATGGTCGTATATATATTTATTTTTTATATAGGTCTCTTCAAAGAATTGATGGTAAGGTAGCTGCGGAGCTGTATCTCTTAAGTCTTTATAATATATCATAAGGACCTAATTAAGAGCTATGGTTCCGCACCTAATAGTAAGATTGGTTGATTATTTTCATTTTATATATTTTGATGGATATTGTTGTATATATATTTATTTTTTATATAGGTTTGTTCAAAGAATTGATGGTAAGGTAGCTGCGGAACCGTAGCTCTTAGGTCTTTATAATATATCATAAGGACCTAATTAAGAGCTATGGTTCCGCACCTAATAGTAAGATTAGTTGATTTATTTCATTTTATATATTTTCATGTATATTGTTGTATATATATTTATTTTTTATATAGGTTTCTTCAAAGAATTGATGGTAAGGTAGCTGTGGAACTGTAGCTCTTAAGTCTTTATAATATATCATAAGGACCTAATCAAGAGCTATGGTTCCGCACCTAATAGTAAGATTGGTTGATTTATTTCATTTTATATATTTTGATGGATATTGTTGTATATATATTTATTTTTTATTTAGGTTTCTTTAAAGAATTGATGGTAAGGAAGCTGCGGAACAGTAGCTCTTGAATCTTTATAATATATCATAAGGACCTAATTAAGAGCTATGGTTCCGCACCTAATAGTAAGATTGGTTGATTTATTTCATTTTTTATATTTTCATGTGTATATGGTTGTATATATATTTATTTTTTAAATAGGTTTCTTCAAAGAATTGATGGTAAGGTAACTGCGGAACCGTAGCTCTTAGGTCTTTATAATATATCATAAGGACCTAATCAAGAGCTATGGTTCCGCACCTAATAGTAAGATTGGTTGATTTATTTCATTTTATATATTTTCATGGATATTGTTGTATATATATTTATTTTTTATTTAGGTTTCTTCAAAGAATTGATGGTAAGGTAGCTGCGGAACAGTAGCTCTTAGGTCTTTATAATATATCATAAGGACCTAATTAAGAGCTATGGTTCCGCACCTAATAGTAAGATTGGTTGATTTATTTCATTTTATACATTTTCATGTGTATATGGTCGTATATATATTTATTTTTTATATAGGTCTCTTCAAAGAATTGATGGTAAGGTAGCTGCGGAGCTGTATCTCTTAAGTCTTTATAATATATCATAAGCACCTAATTAAGAGCTATGGTTCCGCACCTAATAGTAAGATTGGTTGATTATTTTCATTTTATATATTTTGATGGATATTGTTGTATATATATTTATTTTTTATATAGGTTTCTTCAAAGAATTGATGGTAAGGTAGCTGCGGAACCGTAGCTCTTAGGTCTTTATAATATATCATAAGGACCTAATTAAGAGCTATGGTTCCGCACCTAATAGCAAGATTAGTTGATTTATTTCATTTTATATATTTTCATGTATATTGTTGTATATATATTTATTTTTTATATAGGTTTCTTCAAAGAATTGATGGTAAGGTAGCTGTGGAACTGTAGCTCTTTAAGTCTTTATAATATATCATAAGGACCTAATCAAGAGCTATGGTTCCGCACCTAATAGTAAGATTGGTTGATTTATTTCATTTTATATATTTTGATGGATATTGTTGTATATATATTTATTTTTTATTTAGGTTTCTTTAAAGAATTGATGGCAAGGTAGCTGCGGAACAGTAGCTCTTGAATCTTTATAATATATCATAAGGACCTAATTAAGAGCTATGGTTCCGCACCTAATAGTAAGATTGGTTGATTTATTTCATTTTTTATATTTTCATGTGTATGTGGTTGTATATATATTTATTTTTTATATAGGTTTCTTCAAAGAATTGATGGTAAGGTTACTGCGGAACTGTAGCTCTTAAGTCTTTATAATATATCGTAAGGACCTAATCAAGAGCTATGGTTCCGCACCTAATAGTAAGATTGGTTGATTTATTTCATTTTATATATTTTCATGGATATTGTTGTATATATATTTATTTTTTATTTAGGTTTCTTTAAAGAATTGATGGTAAGGTAGCTGCGGAACAGTAGCTCTTGAGTCTTTATAAAATATCATAAGGACCTAATTAAGAGCTATGGTTCCGCACCTAATAGTAAGATTGGTTGATTTATTTCATTTTTTATATTTTCATGTGTATATGGTTGTATATATATTTATTTTTTAAATAGGTTTCTTCAAAGAATTGATGGTAAGGTAATTGCGGAACCGTAGCTCTTAGGTCTTTATAATATATCATAAGGACCTAATGAAGAGCTATGGTTCTGCACCTAATAGTATGATTGGTTGATTTATTTCATTTTATATATTTTCATGGATATTGTTGTATATATATTTATTTTTTATTTAGGTTTCTTCAAAGAATTGATGGTAAGGTAGCTGCTGAACAGTAGCTCTTAGGTCTTTATAATATATCATAAGGACCTAATTAAGAGCTATGGTTCCGCACCTAATAGTAAGATTGGTTGATTTATTTCATTTTATACATTTTCATGTGTATATGGTCATATATATATTTATTTTTTATATAGGTCTCTTCAAAGAATTGATGGTAAGGTTACTGCGGAACCGTAGCTCTTAAGTCTTTATAATATATCATAAGGATCTAATTAAGAGCTATGGTTCCGCACCTAATAGTAAGATTGGTTAATTATTTTCATTTTATATATTTTGATGGATATTGTTGTATATATATTTATTTTTTATATAGGTTTCTTCAAAGAATTGATGGTAAGGTAGCTGTGGAACCGTAGCTCTTAAGTCTTTATAATATATCATAAGGACCTAATTAAGAGCTATGGTTCCGCACCTAATAGTAAGATTGGTTGATTTATTTCATTTTATATATTTTCATGTGTATATGGTTGTATATATATTTATTTTTTATATAGGTTTCTTCAGAAAATTGATGGTAAGGTAGCTGCGGAACCGTAGCTCTTAGGTCTTTATAATATACTATAAGGACCTCATTAAGAGCTATGGTTCCGCACCTAATAGTAAGATTAGTTGATTTATTTCATTTTATATATTTTCATGTATATTGTTGTATATATATTTATTTTTTATATATGTTTCTTCAAAGAATTGATGGTAAGGTAGCTGTGGAACCGTAGCTCTTGAGTCTTTATAATATATCATAAGGACCTAATTAAGAGCTATGGTTCCGCACCTAATAGTAAAATTGGTTGATTTATTTCATTTTATATTTTTTCATGTATATTGTTGTATATATATTTATTTTTTATATAGGTTTCTTCATAGAATTGATGGTAAGTTAGCTGCGGAACCGTAGCTCTTAGGTCTTTATAATATATCATAAGGACCTAATTAAGAGCTATGGTTCCGCACCTAATAGTAAGATTGGTTGATTTACTTCATTTTATATATTTTCATGTATATTGTTGTATATATATTTATTTTTT